CACCAGTGAGGATTGAACTCACGACCCCTGGTTTACAAGACCAGTCCTCTAACCACTGAGCTACGGTGGCGCACAGTACGCTAAAAAGATTGTCCCGCTGAAGATTGTGTCTCAATCTGAAGTCTTATTACACAGAAGCGCTGTCGATTATAAAAAAAATTGATTTTCAAATAAGCCACCAGTGAGTATTGAATTCACGACCCGTGGTGTAAAGACCAGTGCTCTAACCGCAGAGCTATGGTGGAACGTAGTACCGTGAGTATATTGTTGATCTGTTGACTGAAAATATCTCTAAAGTCTTATTAGAAAGAAACGCTGTCGATTATAAAAAAAATTGATTTTCAAATAAGCCACCAGTGAGCATTGAACTCACGACCCCTGCTTTACAAGACCAGTGCTCTAACCACTGTGCTATGGTGGCACACAGTACCCTAAAAAGAATGTTCGGCTCAAGATTGTGTCTCATCTGAAGTCTTATTACATAGAAGCGCTGTAAATTAAAAATAAACGTTTTCGCCAAATAAGCCACCAGAAAGGATTGAACTCACGAACCCTGGTTTACAAGACCAGCGATCTAACCACTGAGCTATGGTGACACACAGTAGTATAAAGAGATTGTTGGGCAGATGAATGTGTTTCTCTCAAAGACTTATTACATAAAAGCTCTGTCGATTATAAAAAAAAAATTGATTTCTTCAAATAAGCCACCAGTAAGGATTGAACTCAAGACCCGTGGTGTAGAAGACCCGTGCTCTAACCACGGAGCTATGCTGGCACATAGTACTCTAAACAGATTGTTGGGCGGATGACTGTGTTTCTCTTAAAGACATATTACATACAAGTTCTGTCGATTATAAAAAAAAATTGATTTCTTCAAATAAGCCACCAGTGAGTATTAAATTCACGACCCGTGGTGTAGAAGACCAGTGCTCTAACCGCAGAGCTATGGTGGAACGTAGTACCGTGAGTATATTGTTGATCTGTTGACTGAAAATACCTCTAAAGACTTATTACACAGAAACGCTGTGGACAATAACAAAATTGAACTCGTCAAATAAGCCACCAGTGAGGATTGAACACACAACTCCTGATTTACAAGAACAGTGCTCTTACAACTGAGCTATGTTGGCACACAGTGCTCTAAAAAGATTGTTCTGCTGAAGATTGTGTCTCACTCTGAAGTCTTATTACGTACAAGCGCTGTCGATTATATAAAAAATTGATTTTTTCAAATAATCCACCGGTGAGGATTGAACTCACGACCCATGTTTACAAGACCAGTGCTCCAACCACTGAGCTATGGTGGCACACAGTATTTCAAAAAGATTGTTCGGCTGAAGATTGTGTCTCATCTGAAGTCTTATTACATAGAAGCGCTGTCCATTAAAATAATTGTTTTCGTCAAATAATCCACCAGCGAGGATTGAACTCACGACCTCGGGTTTACAAGATCAGTCCTCTAACCACTGAGCTATGGTGGCACGTAGTGCGAAAAAGATATTGTTGGGCAGATGAATGTGTTTCACTCAAAGACATAGAAGCTCTGTCGATTATAAAAAAAATTTATTTCTTCAAATAAGCCACCAGTGAGGATTGAATTCACGACCCGTGGTGTAGAAGACCAGTGCTCTAACAGCAGAGCTATGGTGGTACGCAGGACTGTAACTAGATTGTTGAGCTGCGGACTGGAAATACATCTAAAGACTTACAAGACCAGTGCTCTAACCACTGAGCTACGGTGGCACACAGTACTCTAAAAAGATTGTTCCGCTGAAGATTGTGTCTCAATCTGAAGTCTTATTACATAGAAGCGCTGTCCATTAAAAATAAACGTTTTCGTCAAATAAGAAACCAGAAAGGATTGATCTCACGAACCCTGGTTTACAAGTCCAGTGCTCTAACCACTGAGCTATGGTGGCACGCAGTACTCTAAAGAGATTGTTGGGCAGATGACTGTGTTTCACACAAAGACTTATTACATAGAAGCTCTGTCGATTATAAAAAGAAAAGATTTTTTCAAATAGGACACCAGTGAGGATTGAATTCACGACCCGTGGTGTAGAAGACCAGTTCTCTAACAGAAGAGCTATGGTGGTACGCAGGACTGTAACTAGATTGATGAGCTGTCGACTGAGAATACATCTAAAGACTTATTAGAAAGAAACGCTGTCGACAATAGCAAAATTGAATTCGTCCAATAAGCCACCAGTGAAGATTGAACTCACGACCCCTGGTTTACAAGACAGGGCTATAACCAATGAGCTATGTTGGCACACAGTGCTCTAAAGAGATTGTTGGTCAGATGACTGTGTTTCACACAAAGACATAGAAGCTCATTACATAGAAGCAATGTCGATTATAAAAAAAATTGATTTCTTCAAATAAGCCACCAGAGAGGATTGAACTGACGACCCCTGTTTTACAAGACCAGTGCTCTAGCCACTGAGCTATGGTGGCACGCAGTGCTCTAAAGAGATTGTTGGGCTGATGACTGTGTTTCACTCAAAGACATATTACTAATATAATAGCCCACCTCGGTAACGTTCTGACGTCACCAACAAGGAAACTCGCGCTATAGCACTGCGAGACGTTAAACAGCATTATTTTATTGTTAGTGAAACTAACTTTCAGTAATTTTAAGTTTAAAAGAGTAATTGTCTTTCTAATTTCAAATTTAATAGCTCTAAAATAGTGAAATGAAATTTGCTATCGATTCATATAAAATTTATATCGCTATGAACAATAGTTCCCGAGAAATTTTAA